GGTTAAATATACTAATAATTAATCAAAACTTTGGTTATACACCATGGCGTTTGGGTTTCTAGTTCTCCTTCAAATTCGTTAATTAATAATAGTTCATTATTAAAACAACTAATATTGTTAACACTCCCCCCCCGTAATCATTGGTCACGATACCCTCTAGGGATAAAAGTTGTGATTTCAGGACAGCTTTATCAACGAAAAACAGCGAGCAGAACTCAAATAGTAATAAAATCAATAGGTTCTTTAAAATTAAGTTATTATAATTCTCTCATAGAAGCTAGCAAATTTTCATTTACTGGGGAAAATGAGCAATTACAGTAAAAATTTGGATTTATTCAAATTTTCGCACAAATTCGTTAATTAATTAACAATAGTTTATTTTATTAAATTAACTAATAATTAATTAACACCCCTGCGTTATTTTATATCAAACGCGTTAAAAACGGTTTGTGGTCAATAATCTGAACAATAGGTTACACCCCCTCGTTGGGCCTTTGTTCTCTAATTGTTTAAATTTAATTAACATAGTATCCTTTGGGTTTTTATATTTATTTTTATAAAATTTAAGATCAGATTTAACGTAATAATTACAGTATAGATATGTTTAATAAAATAGATACTTATAATTTAAAATTATTCTTTTAGATTTTGATTCTTTTATAAAAATACCCTCTATTGTTTGTATCTTAGGGTTTTCTTAGAGATCTCAAAAGATTAAAAATAATAAGTCAGATTAATTTAATGAAAAATACGAAGATTTATAATCATCGAGATGTTTATTTAAATCAAGCATTCTGACAATAAATATCAATGAAAGGCAAACCTGTCGTTCACCTAGCTTATTTAATATTAAATTTATTAAATGAAACAACAGGGAAGATATTTTATATAGTCTTAATTGGGATTAAAGAGGGATTATATATTAAGAATGGGGACAAATAACAATGGGTTTTTCACACCAACAATTACTTATAACAATGGGATACAGAAAAATTACAGCAATTTAAGTGCCAATAAAGGTAAAGCAGGGATTTACTTATGGGCACATATTGAATTAAATAAAAAGTATGTAGGCTCTTTGATAGATCTATCTAGACGACTTAGAGATTATTTAATATAGATTTTTTGGATTGTTATAAAAATATATATATATCAACAATGCTTTAAGAAATCAGGGGGGGGGGGGCATTCCACATTTTCTCTAACTATTTTTAGGGATAATAAATAATACGAATTTATCAAAAGATGAAACTCATAAATTGATTTTATTGCAAGAGCAGTGTCATATTGATTTTATTGCAAGAGCAGAGTTATATTGATTCTCTTTCACCTGAGTATAATTTTAATCCTTCAGCTGGCCCATCTTTAGGTTATAATCATAGTGAAGAAATTTTAGCTAAATTGAGGGGGATTCTAAGAACAGATGAACCCAAAGAAAAAATAAGTACTGCTAAATTGGGTGTAAATAATCCAATGTTTGGTCAAACTGGGGGAATCATCCAATGTTTAGCCGAACAGGTGAAAATCATGCAATGTTAGGTCGAACTCATTCTGCTGAGGCTAGAACTAAAATTAGTCTTGCTAAAGGTTCTTCTATTTTTGTTTATGATTCTGAAAGCTCACTAGTTAATAGTTTTTCTTCAGCTAGAAAAGTAGCTGAATTCTTTAATTGTAATCATCGAACAATTATGGGATACACTAGGAATGGTTTAATATTTAAAGGGCAATGGATATTATCTTCATCTTTAATTTATAAGGAATAATATCTAGTAGGGTTTAATATACTAGATATCTATTATATTTATTCTGTTTTCTAATATAAATAGTTACTATTGCAATTGAATTCTTAATTACCTATCAGTTAACTCCCTCCCAAATTTTATACAAAAAAATAAAGTAAACCTCTCGGGTTTTTTTTCTTTTATTATAATGACAGTATAGGTATGCAATATCAGTATTGATATGTAATAATAGTATAATCGCTTGGTCTTCATGCTATTGGAGGGTTTAATTCTTCTCTGGATAGTCTTTCTTTTTGTACGAAAACATAATAATTTGGGTTAGTCGCTCCCAAAATCAAATAATACTCCCCGTGGTTAGTTAGCACCTATCTCATTAATTATATATTCTATTTTATAGGGTTCATTTATATTTGAACTTAGATTGTTCAAGTCTACCTTTATTAATTTCACCTCGTTGGTATCTGAGTAAATGTTCTCTTTAAATATCCCTTTAAATTTTAATCCAAATATTTAATAAATAAAGGATTCTAACAACACAAAAAAAAATTATGTGGCTTTTTTCAACAAATACTTATAATATAGATACACTATATTTAAATCTTGCATCATTTTCAATTATAGTAGGGTTATTTCTTACTTTTTTTCTATTTTTCGATGTCTCTCTATAATTATTGATCCTTTCTTTTCAACCCACGCAGGGATACGGTGGGTTAGAGGCTGGTTTAACCTTTTTAGTCCCTATAATGATCTATTCTAATGCTGAAACTGACAAATCAAAAATTTTATCTGAAAATAGTGGTAGAGCTGGAATTTACCAGTGGACGCATAGCCAATCTGGTAAAAGATATATCGGGTCTGCCTTTGATTTAACTGGACGATTAAGAGATTATTTTTCTACTTCAGAATTAAAACGAATGAATAATCTTATCTGCAGAGCTTTATTATTTCATGGATATTCTTCATTTTCTTTATCAATAATAGGGTATATGATATTATCAAAGCTAAGGTTCAACTTCATCGAAGGGGGTTTATCTAGAAATTGATAGCTGTAAAGAAGAAAAGAATAATAAATATTATATAACAAAATTATATTATTATTAATAATCTTTTTAGTACTAACGATACCATTAGCTTCTCATCCTCTATCAACAATCTTAACCACGGGTTTGCTCTTCATCGTATCTCTATTGCCGCATTTTATTCCAGAGATACTAGGAGGGTTACCCCAATTAACTTTATTATCTCAAAGTATAGAGATATTCCAAACAACTTTATTATCTCAACCTTATAAGATCTTGTTATCATTCTTTGTACCTATTATGATTTATTCAAATTCAGATTCGGGTAGATCACAGATCTTGTTGGATAGTAAAGGTAAAGCAGGTATATACATGTTGATTCACCTCGAAACTGGTAGGGTTTACATCGGTTCTGCCTTTGATCTGTCTAAGCGATTATCTAAATATCTTATTCCTTCATGGTTAAAACGTACAGATAATTATATCTCGAGGGCTTTAATTCTTTATACTCCTGTAGCATTTAGTTTATCAAATTTAGAATTTATAGATATCTCTAATCTATCACTAGTAGAAGCCCGTAAATTGATTCTAGAACGTGAGCAGTTTTACCTCGATATTTTCGGTAGATGGGCCTAATACATATAATATACTTAAGGTAGCAGGTTCTTTATTAGGTTATAAACATACTGGAACTTCATTAGCTAAAATAAGTGAAACCCATAAAGGAAAAACTCTTTCTGAGGGGACTAAAGCTTTAATTAGTATTGCTATGGCAGGTAAAAATAATCCAATGTTTAGAAAAACACATAGAACAGAAACTTTAGCTTTTATGTTTGAAGCTCAGAGGAATATCGACAGAACAGGTAGAACTTTTTCTGAAGAATCTTTAACTAAGATGGGTCTTGCTAAGTCAGGGGAAAATCACCCAATGTTTGAAAGAACCGGGGAAAATCACCCAATGTTTGAAAGAACCGGGGAAAATCACCCTTAAGGAATGCTTGGGAAAATACGTTCGATTGAGTCAAAAGCGAAAATGAGAGCTGCACTAGGGACCACTATATTTGTTTATGATTCAGATGGCTCTCTCGTAAATACTTTTACTTCTGTAAGAAACGTAGGTGAATTTTTAAATTGTTCTCCTACTACAATTAAGAAATATACTATGACACACCAAATATTTCAAGACAAGTGGATCTTATCTTTTATTGCTAAAGAATAAGCAATAGACTAATATTCTAATGGTAGGGGGTAATATACCATTAAATTAATATTTAAGGGATCGAAACCTTTTGATTCTTAACACCCCCCCCTATGATCCCGAATTTGGATAAAAAGATGCTCATAAAGTGATTATGGGACGGGGACAGCATAATCTGAATATTTTTACCAGAGGCTAAACTAGATACATATAATATACTTAAAACAGCAGGATCTTTGTTAGGTTTTAGGCCATTCCCTGAGACTCGTGCTTTAATTAGTGCTGCTAGAAAAGGTAAATCTCATACCCCTGAGACTCGTGCTAAAATTAGTGAAGCGATGTCAGGATTATCTCATTCTCCTGAGACTCGTGCTAAAATTAGTGCTACTCTAGGAGGTAGTACAATTTATGTATATACAGAAGATGGTATATTTAAAAATAAAAATTTTTCTGCTAGAAAAGCAGGAAAACATTTGAATTGCTGTTCTAAGACAATAAAAAAATATGCTATAAACGGGGGGATTATTTCAAGGACAATGGATATTAGCTTTATCCGCTAAGGAATTTCGGAATTCTATATGCACGCAGGGGGTCCGCTGGGGGTTAATTTACGTACATTAATTAATTATAACAAACTTATTGAGAAATCGTAATGGTCTCTTACTGAACACCCCCATGAGATTAAATCTCTCAAGAAAACGGATCACTTATGAGTTAAAGAGAAACCTTAGAGATGTTAGGCTTAAATAATAAAGCTATAATCGGTTAATAGAAAAACCGTGTTCTTTCAAAGTGATACCCCTTTTTTCGATTACTGTACCCATCGTAAGTAATAGTAATTGCAGCTTTGCCCTTTAGCTGTTACTGGTCCGTTGATAACCGTTGACAAATTATTAATGATTTAATTTCCTTGCCACCGTAGAGGTTATAGACTATTGTCCAGCCAACCAGAGGGGACAACTCTAAAAATGGAACCCTAGAGTTCCTTTACTACAAAAACACGTTATTTGAGATATTTTTCTAATTTAAATAATACCTAGTGGTTAGTTAGCATATCTGGTAATGTATTGGTCTGCAAAACTTTATAAGTATGTTCGAATCATACACTAACCTATATGTTATATTCTTAATATATGTAATATTCTTAATATATGTTATATTTTTAATATATGTTATATTTTTAATATATGTTATATTCTTAATATAATCTAAAATAAAGACATGACGTATTAAAAAATAATTATTTCAAAAATATTTTTAAGGATGTATTTATTTTTAGGCTATAAGAATTCTTTAAACTTTAATTTATATAAATATCTAATAACTTACAAAAAAAATTTTTTAGCTTTAAGGGGAGGTCGGAGCCTTTAGTGGATCTTAATAATTAATCAATAACTTAGTATAAAGCTCTTTGCCCCCTAAGGGGTATGATGGGAGTTCGACTCTTCCTTGTCTTTATCCTATATTACCTTTATACAAAGATAGTTATTTATTAAATAACTCACAGAATTTTTAAATTGTAGGACCCCTAATTAAGTTAAACATACAGTAAATTGATCATGTTGTAAAATTTAATTTATACTTTATGTTTTATATTTTTTATACTAGAGAAAGACCCACCCCCTTACTAAAAATTAGATAATAAAGAAAAAATTTTTGTTTAATTCCTAAATCATATGTTAAACCGTGTAATTACTTCATAGCTCTTTTAAATACTTCTAAGCATCTTAATAATTTATCTTGGTGGGGGGGTTAATTAATAATTATCCCCACAATCAAAGAAAATAAAATTAAAGGTGAAGATTAAAATTAATATGAAACTATAATCAACCCCCTCCCCAAAAGGTCATATAATATAAATAAGATTAGTTTAGAAGTTTGATAATTTAGTAATTTATGACCTTTAATAAGATAATA